TGAAATAATGTTTCACAGCACCGTCGAGTACTCAAATATTAGGATAATAGGAATACTAAATACATATATTTCCAGCTGTCCCTCTGTGATCTATAAAAATGCGAGCCAGCTGTCATTGTGTTGTTTCATCAAATAATATCTTTACGTGATCTCCGCGATAAATTTGCGTTTGAACGGTTATTGATACAACAGATAAGGATCTCACGGCAGCGAAAATTTCCTTTCGCGTGCAAATCGCGCATTCCGGCGATGATATAATAATTTACTTACAATCGCGGCTTAGGATCGCCGACTACGGAGAAGGATCTCTCGGAAGGATCGTTCAACGTGACGTCGTAATTTAACCGTCGTCGCGGGGAAGATAGCGCGGAAATCTCGTGTCGATCGACACCCGCGATATTACGCGGCCGGAACGAGGCCCCGAGGAGGGAACGACGCGAGCGAAATTGAACGTCACACGGGCGAACGCGCGATAACGCGAATTTCATTGCTCGAATTCTCCGCTACCGGATATATCGCGGGGGACAGCGAATGTCCCGGCTAATAGCAATGCGCCATCGTGTAATTATTGCGCTGGTCTCGTGTGGCCGGTCGCCGGTAGCTTGCATAATGCAGAAGACAGCCCGGCGTATGAAATTATAAACATCAAACAATCATTAATTCAATGAAAGCACCGGTTACAGGGAATTTTAATAATAACTCACGCTGATAGCTCGCCTTACGTTACGCATTTTTATGGTAAAGAGTTAATATACCGCGCTCGCGTATATATCGACACGAATTATTCCCTTGGAAATTCAACGGCGTGTATGCGCCTCTATAATGATTTAATTATAACGTATCCGAGATAAGCGGGAGAGTCTGTTTATTTTATAACTTTATTAATAATCCCGTTGGTGCACCTACACGGAGAACGGAGTGTTTACGCGGTAATGCGTAAGGGCGTAAGGATAACGAGCCGTCTCGTTCGCGGATCTCTTACGCGCAAACAAGTACGATCATCGTATCGGAGCGAGTGGTAATGTTGAGCGTCATTTTTTTTAATAAGCCGAGATAGGATCTCTCTCTCTCTCTCTCTCTCTCTCTCTCTATATATATATATATATATATATCTGTCCGGTTTTAGAATTAACGATTTATATTCAGAGGGGTGAAGAGGAGTCACGTAGGAGGAGGCGGCCCCGCGTTTTTATTCTCAATCAATAACATTTGCATCCGCGTCGACCGGCCCAGCCCCCGGTCGAGTCACGAAATCACGTAAAATGATAGCGACGCCTCGCCACGTCAGGGTCAAAATGTGGAGGTGCTCGCCGCGACCGGCGATCTCTCCCCGATTATCCAGGTAGCAACGGAGCCGTCCGGCGCGTATCTGGAAACGTAAATCCGCGTTCTCGCTACCGTCTCCTCGTCTCGATCTCGAAGACTCACGAAGATCCAAGCCCTGCTAGAGAAGACCGTACGCGCGATAAACGCCCGAAAGGAGTGTCGCGTTTTGCAAAATGGAGGTCGAGGACAAAGAAGGACGTGGTATACCACGACGAGAGCGTGTCTCGTCTGATGAAACGACCGAAGGCCGTACGGGAATTCCAGAAACGCGCGTGTTTCTCAAAGAGACACCGGCAACGGTAGGCCTACCTTCGAGAGGAGAAGAGAGATAGAGAGAAAGAGGAAGAGAGCGAGACAAGGGGAACGCGCGGGAAACCGCGACGACATGTTCGAGGATTTATTAAGGAGACACCTGAATCTCCTCCCCCCCCCGTTCGGAGTCTCGAAGTCGTTAAAAAAATCGCCTATCCTCTCGCGCCTGCGAGGCGGACCCACGGGTGCACGGTGGTCGCGAATTTTATGCAGATGCCGTGAGATCGTGTAAATATCGCTAGGCTAAAAGACGACGATAGTTAGAAGCGGGTCCACCCAAGGAGGAAAGGCCCAGGCCGAGCCTCGATCCGGCCGGTTACCATCGCCCTAATGGCGATTAAACATCCCCGCGCTAATTGGCAATTATAGGGCATAGGCATCGCCTTACTTCTGCAAGAAGGTCGTCTCTCTCTCTCTC